TTCAGTGATAGCAATGCAGTTTTTGCCTCTGCTGATGTTGCTCTCTTCAAAAGCCAGCAACACTGTCCAGTATGATAATATAATGCTGAAATTGCCTTTTAAGGTCTACCTGGGACTGAAATGTCAAAGCATCTCTTTCCTTCCACTTTATATAAACCAGAAGATGATAGTAATCCTTAGGTTAATTATGCTTAAAGATACTGTATTTAAGACTTTCAAACTTGTCTTTTTGGTATCCTATTACTTGTAAACTTCTATAACCTTTCTAATTTTTTTAGCAGGACAAATGCTTCAGTATTCTTAAACATATAGTACCATCCCCTCAGCAGCTGAATTTACGGTAGAAAGTAGTGAGCAGAATGTAGTCCTTACAGGAACTTAAACTCTGGTATAATGTTCATGACTGAAGCAGTAAAGCATTCAGACAATGGGCTACCTTATGGTTTCTGATAGAGTATCAGACTCCTGTTTTCCTGTGCAGTGTAGAGTTCACAATTCCAGAAAATACCTTTCTTTCAAACTTAAATGGGTCAGTTACACAAGAGCAAGAACAGTATTTCATAGTAATAAAGGAATTTTATCAAGTTAACACTTGCATTTATTTGTAGTTTTTAGCTATGTTGTCACAAGTCACATTTTTTTTAAAGGCAGAATTAGAGATTTTTAATTTATTTGAAAATTCAGCCTCATAGCATGTTGGCTTCCTCTAATATGTCAGTCACTATAGTGATACCACACTTGCCTACTTTTCTGCATACGTATCCTTTTCCAGCTCTTTTAGAGTGCCAGAATATAAGATGACAATAGGCCTCTAAAAGTGTTGGTTTTTTTCTTTGTCTTGACTTCTATAAATCTGCAGAGTGGATGAACACTAGAGAGGAGATCTTGCTGATTCTTGTAGAATGGTGCAGGGAATTGGCTTTCTCCTACAGGCTATCATTGTTTGTGAAAATAAGAATCTAGGAGATAAGAACAAAGATAAAGGGGATTCTACATGGGAATTCCCAAGAGATCAGGAAAAACTTCTAATAAAAGGAAGTATGTATAGGAATAAGGCTGTCTTTTTTTTCCCACCTCAAACAGACTTGGGAAGTGACTAGACAAAAATACTAAAGAGAGAGAGTCTAAAGATGGCAAGAATGCTGGACAGCACCAGAAAAGAGGGATGAGGTATTCCTCTAGCGTACGTAATCCCTTTGTAGAAATTGCAGTGAAGGTTTGAGAAGGATCTCAGAAGGCTGGGAAGTTGTAACTGGGTGAGGCACATAACAGAGGCAGAACAGGAGCCTTTTATAGATTGAGAGTAGAAATGTGTTGATGCTCTTGCCTGCTTGACTTGTCAAGCAACACTCTTCTTCTTAAAGCAAACAGTGGTAGTGGAATGTTGCTGGTGGTGAGATAATAAAACATCTCTACCATTTTCTTCCTTTGTGGTTATTGAAAAGATGAATGTGTTAACATCAGTGATCCAGGCAGCTTCTAAATAGAATGATTGTTTGCCCTAGAGCAAGGAGTTTTTAAGTAGTATAATAATAATATTCACCTCTTTCCTAAACAGCTGAGTATAGTTTGGTTTTGTTTATTTTTTCCAAATAATGCTGTTCTCTGGAAAATTAGAATGTGATACAGCAGTAAAAGTAAAGATACAAAGGTTGTTGGGATAAAATGCTCTATGAACTTTTGGATACTCTTTATTGCTGTATTTTCAGGCTGCCAAGATGTTTGATGAAGAAGGCAGGAAGAAGTTTTTCACGCAAGACATGAATAATATTTTGCTGGAGTAAGTGCTTATCTGTACAACCTTCGCTTTTTGGAAAGGGGGTGAAAGGAAAAGTACAGAAGAGGAAATATTATTGAGGTTGTTCCAACAAAGCCCTTAAAAGTCAATGAAGGTAGATCAGTCTAAGCTAGTTATTAGCTAAAGAGATTTATATATGAATACAATTCCTGTCATGACTATCTGTCTGTCTTTATCCAGTGTAAAGTGTTTTGTAGTGCCCTGTGTCCTTGACTTCATGTGCAAAATTCAACAAAACTGCCAAAACCTGCCATTATTTCTTCCTGTCCTCCACTTTCATAACTCAAAACACCATCAGCTTTCATGAAGGAAAATGCCAGCTTTTTTTACTCTACAATCCTTCAACTAAGCATTTAATACAGAAGGTTCTCTGTTCATATTCTAAGAAACAAAAAGTAATCTCTAGAAGACTGTAGCAGTTAAAATTGTGTCAAGATTGATGTGAAATGGTGGGAGTAAACGAAATTTGAAGGACAGTGTTCAGCATTGCTGGAGATGTATATGAATGGTTACTTGCCATTGATTAAGATTTCCTCCTTTTGTTAAAAAGTTTAACTATCTGAAAATGTCCCAAGCTGCTATTTTTAGTATGCACAGCTAGAATATGTTATGCATACAAAGCTTCCTTAGGTTTTTGTTCAGTTGTCATCTTCATCTTGGAGTGCCTCACTGGTTGATGTCTCTTGTTTGTCTGTCAGTATTGAGCTACAGTTACAGGAGATAAATCCTGCCATCCGCAATGGAGTCTACTCTCACCTTGAGGCTTTCGTGCCATGCAATAAGGACACACTGATAAAACGTCTGAAGAAGTTACACCTCAATGTCCAGGTAATGATGGGCAGATTAGCTCCAGCATGAGTCAATTATGTAATAGTGATGAGGACAGAATGCAGGAGAATAGAGCAACAGCCACAGAGTCTCCAATAAAGCAAAAGATTTTGGATCGGTTGCTAGGTCAGCTTAAAAGCTTTTTTCTTTGTCACCGAGGATGAGGAAAAGGCTGAGGTACTTAATGCTTTCTTTGCCTCAGTCTTTAATAGTGAGACCAGTTATCCCTAGGGTATTCAGCCCCCTGAGCTGGAAGACAGGGACAGTAAACAGGATAAACACCACCCCCACCCCTGGTAATCCAAGAGGAAGCAGTTAACAACCTGCTACGCCACCTGGATGCTCACAAGTCTATGGGGCCAGATGGGATCCACCCGAGAGTGCTGAGGGAGCTGGCAGAGGAGCTCGCCAAGCCACTCTCCATCATTTATCAGCAGTCCTGGTTAACGGGGGAGGTCCCAGATGACTGGAGGCTTGCCAATGTGACACCCATCTACAAGAAGGGCCGGAAGGAGGATCTGGGGAACTATAAGCCTGTCAGCCTGGCCTCCATGATGGGGAAGATTATGGAGCGGTTCATCTTGAGGGCGCCCACAAGGCATGTGTGGGACAACCAGGGGATTAGGCCCAGCCAGCACGGGTTCATGAGAGGCAGGTCCTGCTTGACCAACCTCTTCTCCTTCTATGACCAGGTGACCCGCCTAGTAGATGAGGGAAAGGCTGTGGATGTGGTCTACCTAGACTTTAGTAAAGCCTTTGACAC